GAATTATGAGGGGGAGAAAGTGTTGATGACTCGATGAAACACATGATACGATGAACATTTTAGGATTGAATGAAGTTGTGTAATGTTTATACATTATTAAATGTATGTGTTGTAGTTCCATTGTGCACGGTGTATAAGTTCTGGCCGCTCGCAGAGTTATACACAAAAGGGTTACTTAGTATTACAAGGTACTACAAGGCTAGTACAATACAGTACATGTACATGGCCTGGTACAGTAGAGGGGCGCGTACAACACACGCAGGTAGACATGACTCGTCATACGACACCTTAACCTGAGACAGAATTAAGGATCACATACACAATTTCTCAAATTGTGATTTAATTAATACGGTATTTTTACCTTTTTGTCCCACTTGATCAATGTTTAGTCGAGTATTATATCTATTTGGCGTAATTATCACAGGATAACTCAGTATTACTCATTTTATAAGGTGAGGTAAGTAATTATTAAAGGAACTATTCTGCCATAGTTTAAATTAGGCGCGCTTCCGTGTGTTTTGGTGTTTGGCGGCAGTGGCGCTGCGTAACGTCACGAGTGACAGTTTGTCAACAAACCTCTTCCCAAGCCTCAGTAAACACGTAACTTGACCACAGAACACTTGTGTTTTCGGCTATAATTGGTGGCCTGACATTTAGTTTATCAAAGGAATGTAGAAGGATGAAGCAACATGTCCTTACGCTTAATGATACGCAACTTTGTCCCGACCAACCACAGTATCTAGATTCCCCTGAGTTTTGGTGAAGTGAACAACACCACAATATTGATGCTTTCTCGAGCTGGTGTGGACTGACTGACCTTTTAAGGGTTAGGGTTGTCTAGGATCATATATATATATATATATATATATATATATATATATATATATATATATATATATATATATATATATATATATATATATATATATATATATATGTCGTACCTAGTAGCCAGAACTCACTTCTCAGCCTACTATTCATGGCCTGATTTGCCTAATAAGCCAAGTTTTCCTGAATTAATATATTTACTATAATTTTTTTCTTATGAAATGATAAAGCAACCCTTTTCTCTATGTATGAGGTCAATTTTTTTTTATTGGAGTTAAAATTAACGTAGATATACGACCGAACCTAACCAACCCTACCTAACCTAACCTAACCTATATTTATAGGTAAGGTTAGGTTAGGTAGCCAAAAAAAGCTAGGTTAGGTTAGGTTAGGTAGGTTAGGTAGACGAAAAAACAATAATTCATGAAAACTTGGCTTATTAGGCAAATCGGGCCTTGAATAGTAGGCTGAGAAGTGCGTTCTGGCTATTAGGTACGACATATATATATATATATATATATATATATATATATATATATATATATATATGTCGTACCTAATAGCCAGAACGCACTTCTCAGCCTACTATTCAAGGCCCGATTTGCCTAATAAGCCAAGTTTTCATGAATTAATGTTTTTTCGTCTACCTAACCTACCTAACCTAACCTAACCTAGCTTTTTTTGGCTACCTAACCTAACCTTACCTATAATATAGGTTAGGTTAGGTTAGGTAGGGTTGGTTAGGTTCGGTCATATATCTACGTTATTTTTAACTCCAATAAAAAAAAAATTGACCTCATACATAGAGAAAAGGGTTGTTTTATCATTTCATAAGAAAAAAATTATAGTAAATATATTAATTCAGGAAAACTTGGCTTATTAGGCAAATCGAGCCTTGAATAGTAGGCTGAGAAGTGAGTTCTGGCTACTAGGTACGACATATATATATATATATATATATATATATATATATATATATATATATATATATGTCGTACCTAATAGCCAGAACGTACTTATCAGCCTACTATTCAAGGCCCGATTTGCCTAATAAGCCAAGTTTTCATGAATTAATGTTTTTTCGACTACCTAACCTACCTAACCTAACCTAACCTAACTTTTTCTGCTACCTAACCGAACCTAACCTATGAAGATAGGTTAGGTTAGGTTAGGTAGGGTTGGTTAGGTTCGGTCATATATCTACGTTAATTTTAACTCCATTAAAATAAAATTGACCTCATACATAATGAAATGGGTAGCTTTATCATTTCGTAAGAAAAAAACTAGAGAAAACATATTAATTCATGAAAACTTGGCTTATTAGGCAAATCGGGCCTTGCATTGTAGGCTGATAAGTGCGTTCTGGCTACTAGGTACGACATATATATATATATATATATATATATATATATATATATATATATATATATATATATATATATATATAATGGAGCCCTGTTGCTTATGCATCGTTAACGATGCATAAGCAACAGGGCTCCATTAAGGAACATATAATCTCTTCCCACAACCAAACCATCGCCAGAGAAATCCTAGTAAACAACACAGAAATCATCGATAGATACAGCGATAGCAGGCGGCTTGACGTTTGCGAGGCACTACACATCAAGAAGTCAACACCAGCAATCAACAGCCAATTATTGCACAACTATATTCTACCCACCTCAAGACTCCGCTCCAATATAGAAGCATCAAGAAATATGGACCAATAGGCTTTCTACAAACACTTCTATTCAATATCCATTGTTTCGTGTTCTGTCTTGTGTTGATGAAATTAATACCCTATTAATACCCCTGTTCTGTCTTGTGTTGATGAAATTAATACCCTATTAATACCACATTTTGTTCTGTCTTGTGTTAATGCCACATCACCCCTTCCACCTCACTCAAATGTAGATATAAAATCGGAGATACGTAAGTTCTATTCAGTTGTGTATTTGTGAACTAAAGTCTTTGAAAATGTAATAAGTTTTACGAAACGCGCCCGTGTCGCGTCAGACTAGAAATAAAAATGAATTTTGGAGAATTGATTTTTGATTTACCTCCAACAGTGAAGCGTAATGTACGAAAGATTGAGAAAATTCGTGTTAGAATTATTAATCTTACTTTTTCGGTCATATTTAATAATATATATATATATATATATATATATATATATATATATATATATATATATATATATATATATATATATATATATATATATATATATATATATATATATATATATATATATATATATATATATATATATATATATATATATATATATATATATATACATACATAAGTTCGAGAAAGCCTTCTCACGGAATTATATTATATATATTAACCTGAATAATATTTATTATTATATATTTACCTTAATAAACATTAAGCTTACTGTTTTAAATGTGAATAGTGCAATATATAAACCTCGTTCATTGTAGATATAATGTTCCTCCTCACTTCATATGACACCAAGTATTCAAGTCATCGCGAATAAATAGGATTAATATCATATGAACGAATTAATATCATGGAACGGATTTTGCAATCATCATGCAATCATATCAACGTAACATTTCTTGAGAATAAACACAACTACAGAAGGCCTATATTGGCTCACACGAGGCAGCTCCTGTTTATATCCGCCCAAACTAATTCAAATGTACATTCATATCTACGCAAAATCCGGCTATCCCTAATCTATTATGGTATCCCCGGTAAATTATTTGTCCCATCAACCAATAATGTAGGCCGTACCATGCACGCTCTACGTCTTACGAAGAGCATTTTCGGTTGAACTGACCAGAATTTACCTTTAACTCTGGTTCCCTAATGTCCCAGATTTCGTTCCTTTGACAAAAACGTCCCCCAGACACCAGTTATAGCAGAGACTGTCTGTAGATTTACGATTAAGTGAGGCGCTCGCTGAAGCGTCCAGATGGTTTGTTGATAAACAATGTCCCACGTGGCTTGTGAAGCAGCGCCACTGCCGCCGTAGCGGTGAAGTAGAGAAACGTGTGAGGGTGAGTAAAAAACTGAGACATTAGTGAGTGTTGAGAGAACACGTGGAGACAAAAGTATGAAAAGAACATGAGGGAAATGTGATGAAAAATGAGGAAATGTGATGAAGATTGAGGGAAGGGAAAGGGAACTATAGGGGAGAAAGCGCCAAGTCATTATATGGCATTGGGAAGGGGTCAAGATAAGGTTTGGGATGGGACAGGGAGGACGGAATGGTGCCCAACCACCTGGAGGGTCGGGGATTGAACGCCGATCTGCATGATGCGGGACCGTTGCTCTATACCGTCCAGTAAGGGAAGTATGAGGAGATGTGAAGAATGATACTTGCAAGTTTACCTTCATATTACGATTCTAGAAAGTTTACCTTCAGAGTACGATAAGTGGAAAGTTTACCTTCAGAGAACGATATCTGGAAGTTTATCTTCAGATAGCGATAGCTTTAAGTTTACCTTCTAAGTAGGATACCTGGAAGTACCTTTAGAGTACCATACGTGAAGACTTACCATGAGAGACCAGTACCTGGAGGCCGTGATGCGACCACCGCACACAGAGGCTGGGTGATGCTGCCGTTCACAGTCAACACTCACTGTAGGTCTATAGGTCGAGCAGTTGTGACCACGAACCCTCACACCTAATACGTCGCATTCTTTACGGAATTGACCAATCCGTTAACAATGCGACAGGTTAGTAATCATTAAAGCACCATAATATTGGCGTTTTCTTGACCATTGGCTGTGATATGTTAGGTGGGTTGCTTGGATTCGTACGCTCATCAGCTAGGCCAAACAGGTGCATTTTTTACGTAGTGGTAAATTGTGAAAAGGGGCTGATATAAGAGATCTAGAATAGAGTAGTTGGAATAGCAGTGAGGTGCTGTAGAGTAGTGGTAGTGTAGCTGAGGACTGGTTCATGTGTGAGGCATGTATGAGGGTAGAGGGCTGAGTGGAGGACTTTATGAGGGTGTGGTCAGGGGGAGCTGTCAGGAGAAGCGTCGGCAGAAGGCGCAGACGCCACGTCAGCGGGGACAACCTGCGCCACCTTGGAGTAGCGGTGTGGGCCCCCCGTGGGGGACTGTGACCGCCCCAGGGGAGGCCGACGGAGGGAGCCCCTGCCACGCGACCCTAGCAGCGAGCGGGCAACGCTACCTGTATCCACGATGACGTCAATCAGGTCCATGGACTTGGCGAAGGCGTCGCGTAGGTTGACGTGATGGAAGGACACGATGGAGCCTTCTCGCTTGGCTCTCTCGAGGGCCTCGCGTCGCTTGAGGGCCTTCTCGCGTCGCATCTGGTTCTTGTAGAACTCGGCGAAGTTGTTGACGATGATGGGGATGGGCAGCGCAATGACCAGCACACCACAGATACAACACACAGATCCGATCACTTTGCCCAAGGGAGTGATGGGGTACATGTCTCCATACCCCACCGTCGTCATGGTGATGCCCGCCCACCAGAAAGTCTCCGGAATACTTTTGTACACAGGATTTTCGTCTTTTTCCGCAAAATAGCAGAGACTCGAAAAGATTAACACGCCCATGGCTAGAAACAACATCAACAAACCTAACTCTTTGTATGAATTTTTCAGTGTAAAGCCCAAACTTTGGAGCCCGGTCGAATGTCGGGCAAGCTTTAAAATTCTGAGAATTCTCATAATTCTGAAGATCTGAACAATCCTTCTCACGTCCTGGAACTGGTCTGTGTGTTTGTTTGACTCAATAAGGAACAAGGAAACAAAGTATGGTAGAATGGCAAGCAAGTCTATAACGTTCATTGCGCCTTTAAAGAATTTCCACTTGTTGGGGCTTGCAGCGAACCGCAGGAGGTACTCGAGCGTAAACCATGTGATGCATACCGCCTCCACCATGGCCAGTTTCTCATTGTCTCCTTGCTCGGGACCCTGAAAGCTGGGCACGGTGTTGAGCACGAGCGCGAGCGTCGACATGACGATGAAGATCACGGAGATCACAGCCAGCACCTGCGGAAACCAGAGAACCCACACCGTCACCCGAGTGCTCCCTGGCTCTAGGACCGGTGGTCTCCCACTGGGTAAAAAAAGGTCTCCTACGAGTCTATTACTGCTGCCGTGCCTGGTGCAGTCTGC